ATATAAACTGGTATTGAAATGCCGTGTGCAAGATTTCACTTTTGTATGTAAAGTTAGATTAGGCTTAGGTGCACCTTCTTCTATTATCTTAAGTTTCTCATTATAACTGAGTGAACTGAACGGTGTTTGAAGAAGTTTTTCAATCACACAGTGGTTATCACATGAAAGTGTCATGTTTCTATTTTTAACTTAACAGCAATCACAAAAACACTGGTCATAAAGTTATAATTACGCAAAGCAAAACAAATTCTGTATCGAGAAAAATACAGAATAATAACTAAACTGACTTGTGCATAAATGAGACGCTAACACCTTCTGAAAACTAATACACACGCTTAACTGCCAGGTCACAGACTATTCTACTGCACTCTACTGCGAACTGCAATGCCTTACATCCGGCAACATTGCTGGAAGCACGAAGCTAGTAGCATAACATAACGGATAGGGATAGCTCACTTAGAGACAATATTGACATTGGTCAGCCAGTTAACACAGGGGAGGGTGGAAGCGAAAGACCTGCTGCTTCCGCGCGTGTTGCAATTTGAAGTACCCTGCATTTTTGAAGAAAATAACTGATCTATCCTGATAAATTGTTTATTTAACACATTAAAACTTGCAATATTCTCATTATATGTAATATATGTTCTCAGATTAATTAATATTTTGAAGTATGAAATATTTTTTCGAAATTGAAAAATTGCCAGAAATGTTCTTGGTTGCTTTTCTATAGGGAAGCAATGCTTCCACCACATCCATGTACCCTACGCCCCTGGTGGAGCTATACCTACACATCTGCATTTGTCTCCATGGCGTGGTGTTTAACTAAGCGGTCATGTTTACTTTTTGTCCGAGCCAGTTCAATTTAAGTCTTTCAGGTAATCGTGAGGTTATCCCACAAAAATTCTAAGTTTATTTCTTTCTTCTGCAGCCCGGACTAAACACCTATCAAAAAGCGATATGTATTCTGCATCATGAGGGTGCCTCAACACCAGAGAGTGAGGTAGTTCTTTATTGAGTCGTCTGAGCTTTAGTAGATTCTATTTCCAGAATTGACACACCTGAGTTCTTGTTTAACACGGAAGTTCCCCCCCCCCAATGGATGCTTTAGATACCCACGTCTGTGAATTCATGGCCGACCTCACTATTCCACCATTTTCTAGTTTGGTGCACTAGTCATACATTCACCCATCCATTAATGGCTCTACAGCCATTTGTTGGGCCCTGGACGCTTTTTCGGTTTCGTAATCCTATCACCAATAGGTAGGACTGCTTGGACGGGGGATCAGCCCATCCCTAGGCGCTACCTACACACAAAATAGACGCAGAGAGACAGCCATGTCTTGAATGAGATTCGAAAGCACGATTCCAGTTTTCGAGAAGGCGAAGGCAGTTCTTGCCTTAGACCGCGCGGCCACAGTGATGGGCCCGTTTTGAATATGCTCTGCCAGAAACATCAATGTGCGTGCGTCGTCATCAGAATCAGCATCATTTAATGGCAAATATGTTACGGATTTCGTGAAGGTTGGTGTTAGATCGTGAAATCTGTAAACGATACCCCCTGGAGCACAATGCAACTTTCTTAAAGTAAGGTTGACTACTCAAGGCTTCTTGCGAACCCAAAAGTTGTTTTAGAGAAACAAAAGTCTGCAGCCTTGCATTAGGGTGCCCATAGTCTCCTTTTACCCGGGACAGTCTCGTTTTTACAGCCACTGTCCCTGTGTCACCACAAATCTTGTCGGGACACAAATGTATCAGTTTTTCCTTTTTATTTGCAGTAAAACTCAGATTAAGAATTATGTAATTTTACTAGAGAACTTTAAGCCGATCACAGCAGCCGCGCCGTCTAAGGCAGTGATTCTAAACCTTTGTGAAATCGCGGCCCGGTAAATTCTTTTTTTTTTTTTTTTTTTTTTTTTTTTTTTTTTTTTTTTTTTTTTTTTTTTTTTTTTTTTTTTTTTTTTTTTTTTTTTTTTTTTTTTTTTTTTTTACGAGACAAGAGCCCGGTACGGGACCGAGGTCAGGCGGTTCAGAAACACTGGTCTAAGGCATGAACCGTCTTCGCCCGCTCGAACACTGAGATCGTGGGTTCGAATCCCACTCAAGGCATGGATGTTTGTGTGCTTTTATTCTGTGTATGTAGCGGCCTTGAGGCGGGCTGATCCCTCATCCAAGGAGTCCTACCGACTGTATAGGATTAAGAAGCTGAAAAAATGGCCAAGATCCGCAAGGGCTGTAGAGCCATAGATAGATAGACAGATAGATAGATAGATAGACAGATAGTGTGACATGTTGCGCTATGGAGGACACCCCCTTCCTCCCCAGCGGTGACTTGGCATCGGACCAAGCACACTGGTCGGGTAACAGGCAGGTCAACACCCTACACCCCGCCAGCAGTGACGTGCCGAGCGGAGCCGAAGTGAGCCGAGTCCAAGCACACTGGTCGCTATGCAAAGCGAGTAAACAGCGGTTGCTAAGCAAAGCGAGTAAACGATGGTTGCTAGATAGATAGATAACTTTAAATTCCCAGTTTCTTGCTTAGATTAGTTTCGGCGATAGGATATTTTTTCGTATCGTGACTGTTATCAGTACAGTTTAAATGCTGCGAACTGCCATCCAATAAAAGCAGCATTTATGTTTCTTTTCTTCACTTCCTGCATTGCTCAGTTTGTTACTACGAAGTTCTAAGGCACCCACCATTGTACTCAAATGTATTGTCCAGGATTCATTCATTCATCTGTGGATCTGTCAAGACGACAGGTCCACAGTCTCTTCCAAAACAGTTCCTCCACTTAATGCGATCTAGAGCTTTCTCCTTCAAATTAGAATATCCTCTTCTGTCCCCAAGGTCATCCAGCATCTTCTTACGTCTTCTTCCTCGTCTTCTGGTCACTCCTATCCACCCCTCTATCTTTCCTTCAATAACTTCTTTTAGAAGGCAGTTACTGCGTAAGATATGACCAATCCAATTAGCCTTCCGTTTTCTTATTTCGTGTAGGATATTCCTCTGCTCACTGACTCTAATTAACACTTCTTCATTTCTCACATAATCGGTCCAACTGATCTTCTCCATCCTTCTCCAACACCGCATTTCGAAGCTTTCCAGGTGTTTCTGATCTACTGCCCTAAGTGTCCATGTCTAGGATATACAACCGAAATAAAAATTGACCTAAGCGCCCAGTTACGCAGATGTTCCCATTGTGTTTAAACCCACAATGATGGTTACTATAATTGTCACGTATAGGGGTGACTATCCTTGCGACGAGCTGATCACCCGCCCAAGGAATCCTACCGTATGTGTAAGATCTAGAAAAACCGAAGTGAACGGAGAAGAAGTTCATGGAGGTAGGCCTAGGCCCACTGGGGCTGTAGTGCCAAGCGGGGGGAGAGGGGTGACTATAGACGGAGTTCGGATTGGTTAATGGATTCACTGATCATCTATACACACCACTCGGAACTACAAGCAATTACTGCGCCACCTCTAATCTCTACAATTCACAAATCACCACAGCACCCACTAAGACTTTTCCAGTCTATTGTGTCTTCGCCGGCCGTTCCCTACCAACGGTTTCTAAGAGTGGAGATTATTAGGCTTCGCTCCTTCAGGTCCTCTCCTCACAGCCTCTCATGCAGACCTCTCCTCTCACTTACTGTCAATCGAACTCGTTTCTCCAACTCTCGTGGTTATAACTTCTCGGCGCGGATTACATAGAAAACACCGTTATTCTATTGTTGCCTTCCTGTCCGTGTTTGCCGAGCTGTTGCTCAGAAACGACCGTGCGCGGACTAATAGGAAAACACTGTTTTATATCGTTGCGTGCGTATCTGTTGTTGGCGTTACAAAATAACGGCCGCTGTTTATAGGGCCACTGCTTGGCAACGCATCTACACGCCACAATATTAACATACTGTGGCATGTACACCCACTGCTAATTAATGACCGTGAAATAAGCAGCCATGCAGCAGCTTTTTCTAAGTAATTACACTTTAAACAACGGTCGTTGCTAGGCAATGGTTGAGTAGTGATGACGTGGGCAAGAGCAGAATAATGGCTGTCACAAGCATTGTATAAGAACCCAAGAAGGATAATGGCCGCTAGATTTCACAGGCGGTAAATATGACTTAGCTGGCGACGGCCGGCAGTATTTGTAAACGATAGACACGTTATCTCGTCAGAAAGGGCGCCTCATATCAACAAACCAGCGGCTGTCTGACAGTAATAAAAATTTGGTCTTGGGTCCCAGATGGGTGCTTTGACACCAAGACAGACTGGTCGACTGGCAGTCGGTCGTAACATAAGTTTGACTTTGACTTTGACTTTGGACAGAGCTGGTTAGTGGAGTGCAGTGTGTTGGTTGGTTAGTGAGTTAGAGGGCTAGTGCGGTTCAGTCCTTGTGACCGGTAACTGTGAGAAGCTGGTAGCCGAGGCACGGGGACAGTTCGAGAATCAAGAGTAAAGGGAACGTCCGCCGTTAGCAGCCACTACCAAGCAACGGCTAGTGAAGACGTAGCAGACTGAGAAGGCTTAGTATGTGCTGTAGTGAACTGCAGAATATGTGAAATTCATAAATTCATTTACGAAGCCAAACCCCGTCTATAGTCACTCCATAAAATAGTGTCAATACTAAAAATCTGCATTCTGTCGAGTGCACTTGTGTTCCTCAGCGTTCGTACAATAAAGAGCGACTGTTTCCCTAAACAGCATTAACCGGTTTGGCTTTGCAGCGGAGGAATAATGTGTTTCCTGTGAGGTACAGACTGAATTCTTATATATTATTAAGAAGAAATTCAGTATTTAAAGGGATAAATACGATATTAAATGGCTGGTTCTTGAATTATGGTCATGATCCCTTGCGTACACACACACACACACACACACACACACACAGACACACGCGCGCGCACGCGCGCACACACGCACGCACACGCACACACACACACACACACACACACACACACACACACACACACACACTGTATCCTCCTAGCGTAACGAGTGTTACCTGAGCTCGGTAGATGACTCCACTAGCAGCTTAACGCAGTCGAGGCACCCTCTGGCGGCCGCATAGTGCAGAGCGAGGGCGCCATTACCGCTCCGCTCCAGCGCGGGCATCTCCGCCTCCCAAAGCAACCACCGCAACACGTTCAACCGGCCGTATCTGCAGCAAACGAGTACATATTGAAGATTAGTGAATCTCTTCTAGGGCATAGTGACAGTTATATTCGGGAAATAATGAACAGCTCCATAAAAAGCGAAGCTATCCCTGTAACAGGCCCTGGAGGCCCATAGGGTTGTGAGACGTCGAAGGTCCCGCATTTTATAGACCATCGGCTCACAGATGGTGCAGAGATTATCAGCCTTAACGCGCCGGCCGCCTTTTACCCGCAAGAAGATGGTACTCATTTCTGTTAGAGGCTGAGTCGACCCTAGGTCCATAGTGCGGCTGGAAGGATTAGATCAGTTGAAAAATCCAATAACTTTATCGGAAACCGAAGCCGCGATATGCCGGCTTGTAGCATAGTGTGTCAACCAATTACGCTACCGGGTGCTGTTTAATGTTGGTGGAGACACGAGGAGGACGGCAAAGTCTTGGTTAGGATGACAGACCTTCTATCCGAGGGTCGAACCCGGATCTCTTGAATATGATGTAGATCTACGGAAGGAAACAGGTGTGACCTGTTTGAAAATGCAGTGCACCATTTTCCGGGGGGGGGCGACTGAACAGTAGGCAGTAATATTGTTCTGCGATTGGGCAGCTTAGGCAGACAGGCGTCAGACTTGGCGAGGCCCTAATGCGCACATACTTATTTAGTATTTAAAAAAAAGAATAACTGAAAGACATAATTTTAATTGAATACTTTCACAAACAGGCTTCTTCATGACTTAACGATTTAACAGAATTATAACAAGCACCCCCCCCCCAAGAGAAACGTCAACTAACTCCATGGAAGCGAGTCCAACCTGTGGATCTAATATTTGTTCAGCCACTCAAATCATTCCAAGGACTTTACGCAACCCCCGCGTTTACTACCATACTCCCAAGAGCCAATCACACGTTCCTCTCGTGAGTATTTATTATTAAAAAAAAACACGTCTTATAAAGAGAGTGCTAATTAACGACTGTTAAAGTTGTCCCTGTGCTAAGTTAATTATCACGTTATAAAGACATGTTGGGGTGGAGGTATAGCTCCACCATTCTTGACCTAGGCACTAGACGGAGGTGAGTGATCAGTTAAACGCCCCGGCCACTTTATCCCCTGCGAAAGAGCACCAGGTACCCATTTTATACGAGGCTGGGTAGCTCTCAGATTTTATCGGGGCGCTTTGAAGTAGAAACAAATCGCTTGTCTCTATCGGGAATCGAAATCCTGGCCGTCCAGCCCCTGGGCCTTCGCTTTACCGACTAAGCCATCCCTCAGATACTGAGGCCCCAGGCGGTGGACTGAACCTGGCTCTGCGGTTACCATTTCAAGCCCACGGACTTCTGCATTACTTCGATGAGTTCCAGGGGCTGAATAAGAAACGGTAGCAACGATGGAGCAGGCGACAGCCGGATCTTCCTGCTCCATAAATCTCATTGTATAACTGTGGCCATGCTCCACAATTGAGGTCACTATTCAGAGGGAAATTCCACATTAGCATCAACGTGTGAACCTGCAAGTGAACCGGGAGGTGCAACCACGCAGAACTGACAGACTGATCCTCACAGGTAGAGTGCAGAGAACATCATAGTGAATATGAAGAAGTTTTCCAGAGAGATGAGCAGCGTGAAACTGGGGTCTGCGCCCGGGGTTCCAGAGACATTTTCTGTCTCCGTCAACACTGGCTAGGGGAGACGGAAGAAGTGTCAGAAACATGTACCGCGGTGAATATACGGCAGTACAGCGGGATAAGGTGTCGACTCCCGGCAGGGGCAAGAGATTTTTCTCTTCTCCACAGCAACCAAGGAGCCGGAGTAGCTCAGGCGGCATAGCGACTGGCTACGGGCTGGACGACCGAGTTTCGGAGTTCGAGTCCCGGTAAGGTCAAGCATTTTCTCTTCTCCACATCGTCCAGACCGGTTCTGGAGCCCACCCACCCTCATATACAAAGGGTACTGGAGACTCTTTCTAAAAGGGTAAAGCGGCAAGGGCGTAAGCTAACCGGTCACTTAAATCTTACGCAGAGGAAATGAATGATAGACCTAGACTCCCACTGGCCCATAAGTCTTCATGGCGTAGTCCTTAATTTATTAAGCACAGGGACAATTATAAGTTTACTTTCCCTTGCCTTAAAAGTATACTGCAGTAGGGGTGTCGGGTCAGTCGTAATCCAAAATTCACTGCCTGGAATGTAAACATATTTTTATGAGAATGACTGTACTGTATGTGTTTTTGTTCATATTGAAGCGCGTAGAGCCGTTACTATGCAATGATCGCTAGATAAGCAAATATACCGGAGCCGTTTCTAGGCAACAGCTCAGTGAACATGTTCTCGCAGCAAAAGACTCGAAAGCAACAATAGTAAAGCAGCAGAGAAACGGTGTATCCTGGGGTCCACGCCGTGGCTGTTGCTGCGCATCGGCGCGGTAAACCCATCACTCTGGCAACAGATATAGACCCAAAAATAGAAGAACTATGTTTCTATGTGGTCCGTGCCGAGATGTTATAACCGGGACGGTTTGCAACAACTAGTTAGTTGCAAGAGTGCTCGGTTGAAAGGCCGGCTGTGAAGAGAAGATTTTATGCGTGATATTTCGAGTGTGTAATTCAGTGAGACTGTTATAGATCCTGCGTTAAAATCCGTTGAGAAGAAACGACTAAGTGGAGATTGTAACAGACGGAGGACACTAGTCTGTGTGTGTGTGTGTGTGTGTGTGTGTGCGATCTTGGCGGTGTAGTCACGGATCGTGATTGTATTAGTGATTAATAAATCGAGTCACTAATCCAAACCCCGTCTATAGTCACTCAAATACGTGACAGTATTAATTTATGTAGTATATGTTCGCTGGTTTCTAGGCACGTGATTGCACTCTTTCCCTTGCTTCTGTTTCAAGAAATATGTTTTTACATACATATTTTCAGGATTTTTGGAGATAATTATTTAAATTTTGTGTTAGTAAGAACTGTGTCTCACATTATATTTGGGAGAAACGCTGTGCCCTGTATTTTGTGGGTATGAACCTGATGTCAGAATGTCTATGTCTACATGTTTTATAGCATAAGTAACGTGATACCATCTTGTGGGACGGTGTTTACTCGTTAATATTACGTTAGCACAGGTATTAGTTATTGGATTTTGAAGGTAAAATCGAATTTAATTTATATGATTGTTTTGTTGGCATGTGCAATAAATATGAAATTCTTCTAAACTGTGTTTTGCTTTTATGCCATTTGTATTATATAAATTGTTTTTTTTTTAATATTTCCTTACTCTTGTCCTGTGTTTAATGTGTGACGTGTATAGATGGTGTGTATTGGTTATGTTGTATTGCACTAATAAGCTCTTTATGCCTGGTTTTAAAAGATCGTCGCGATAAGACAAATACTACAACAAAATTCATACAAAATAAATGAATCCATAAAAAGAAAACTAAACAGTAACAACGACAATAGGAATACTAAAACAAACATCATTCCAAAACAAATAGCCAAGAACAAAACAAAAGGACAACACACACTTCGGGCACGAAACTAAACAAAACACAGAAATAGCATTGAAATCCACGCACACTTAAAATTCATATGCTTATACATTAAAGAAAATACATTATACCCCTCGGAACACAAGCTGAGTGATGAAAACGCAAGTCGCACGCCCACAAACCAACAAACACACACCACATCAATACAAGGTAAGATAAAAAAACATATTCCTTCCCCCCACATATAAACAAAAAGCACATGCTTATATTCTCATAAAAATATATCGCATTTCAGGTAGGGAAGCACCTCAAAGTAACACACAGGCAGAAAAGCTACACACAACTACAACACTCAGATAAAATATAAGATAAACTTTTAGACACACTTCATTTTTAATTTGAATGATTGAACATTTTAACTGTTAATATTTAATCACAAGGTGCATACATCTTTTATATATAAAGGTACTATACATTACTAAAGATTTATACGTATCGAAGGGAAATCAAAGAACCAGGATAGCGCAGTCGGTATAATGACTGGCTAAGGACTAGACGTCCAAAGATAGGAGTTCTAGTCTCGGTGGTGGCAAGAATTTTCACTTCTCTATGCCGTCCAGACCGGCTCTGAGGCCCATTCAGCCTCCTCTACTAATGGGTACCGGGGGCTCTTTCCCCGGGGGGAAAGTAACAGGGGCTTGAATATAACCACTTGCCTCCAACTAGTGTCGAGATCAAGAAAAAGTGGGTCTATACATCCACTCCCCCATACGTCTTCATGGCGTAGTGCTTAATTATTGAAGCACAGGAGTAGCTTTCTTTAACTTTTTACATATTACTAGAAACATTGTTAAATATATAAATACTGGCCAATGTAGGAACGCCAGCAGTTTAACACAGGCGAATGTGAACAAGTAAAATACCTGATGATGGCTTAACGAGCCGGAACATTAAATAAACGACAAGTGTATCCTATGTCCATATCGTCCATATTGTCCTTAAAGTCCATATTGCGGTGACGAAAAAAATAAAGAAATTTTACACACACCATATGACGCTAAAATATAATATTTCTAGGTTAACGAACGAAATTGCATGCATTAAACACACACAAATTTCAGAAAAGGTTTGGGAGGATGACATGTCTTCTAAGGCAAGAGGGCGCCATTCCCACACAGAGTCTGGCAACCACTGGCGTGGACAAAATGACGACCGTTACGGCTCCTTGCAGTAGGCCGCAAGTTCAATGCCGAGGAGCACGACCTCGACCCCAGGTGACAAGGCCTGGAGTGCACACGGCACAGCTCTGGTCAGCATCCGGATCTGTACGCATGTCACGATCTGGCTGTGCGCTCTCAAATTATGAGCTAATTCAAAGATTTTTTATGAAATTTAGTATTAGAGGCCACCATAATCCTATTTTTTATAATTTTTATGAACAATAATGACAACACGGCGGTATCTGAACTTGTGAGACTAAAGATACTCAGGCCTAGCGTAGGGACCTAGACAGGGCTGTCCAATTGTTGGCACTT